GGGTGGGGTGACAGGATGTCTCCTGAGCACGCTGACAGTCTTTACTGCTGAGTCAGCAGACCCTCTGGAAAATGACAGACTCCACATTCCCCGGGCTGAGCAGGTGAGCTCTGAGAGCAATTTCAATCTTGTATGGGTCTGGCTTCAGACTGCTCCTCTGTGTTTCACAGTGAACCTTATGTCACCCTTCCTCCGAGGGAAACAGAGAACACGTTTCTGGAGAAATTAGCACATGTCGTTTGACACCTGATGATGCAACTTCCTGGAGCCTGGAGACACCTCCTAGCAGCCAGAGGAGCTGCGTGGACTGCTGGGTGAGCAGAGGAGAATCCACCGTGTGGCTGCAGCTCCCGGGTTTCACATCTTTCTTTTCCTTCTTTCTTTCTTTCTTTTCCTTCCTTCCTTAATTCCTTCCTTCCTTCCTTCCATCCTCTCTCCCTCCCTCCCTTCCTTCTTCCTACCTTCCTTCCTCTTTCCTTCTTTTTTTCTTCCCCTCCTTCCCTCCCTCCCCCTTTCTTCCCCCCTCCTTCCTTCCTTGTTTCTTTCCTTCTTTTCTTCCTTTTTTACTTCCTTCCTTTTCTTTATTCCTTCCCCCTTCCTTGCTTCTTTTCTTCCTTCTTTCCTTTCTTTCCTCCTTTCTCTTTCTCTCTCTCTCTCCCTTCCTCCCTCTGTCCCTCTCTCTCTCTCTCTTTCTTTCTTTCTTTTCTTTCTCCTTCCCTCTATCTATGTCCCTGTCTATATCTGTTTATGGATGGGTAGATAGATATAGGTAGATAAATACATATAGATAGGGAGATAAATAGATAGATAATAGCTAGATATATAAACAAATACATAGCACAGATAGATGGATAGACAGATGCCATACGTGGATGGATGGATGGATGGATAGATAGATAGATAGACAGATGATACATAGATACACAGTTTGATTTCATCTTCCCGACAACCTCAGCTGGCGTCATGGACCATGAAAAAGCAAGATGAAAACAGGGAAAATCCTGGGATTCTTTTTCTAGGGATGTAATACATATATATACAAATAAAACGCCCCATGGACAAAACAAAAAAGAAGAAGAAGAAGAATGTCTGGGGTTGTAGAAACCAAGGCAGAATCGTGCAGGTGGCACCTCCAGGCAGCAGGCTTCAGAGAGAATAGATTAGAAGCATTTCTTACCAGAATGAAGGTCTATGTGGATGTGGGTGGAGGTTGGGTCTTCCTCAATTCCAGAAAGGAATGTCTGACCCATGTTTCCATCATGGCCAGAACTATTGTTACAACTTAACTTCGGAATGCCATTGCCCAGGGTGGGGGTCCATTCCGATGGCTGAGTGCTTATACATTTATTTTTGGTTTGCACTGGAGTTTGGTACCAAACTCCAGTTTGGTACCATATAGCCTGGCTGTGTGGAAGGCTGTGTCACCTGCGTTTGTGTAACTGTGCTCTACATTTTTTTGCACAGTGATGGAATCCCCTGACCACACATTTCCCAGCATGTATCCCCACCGTTAAGCAACACATGAGTGTATTTTCATATGCAGTGTTCTAATACTTGGTACCTCGGACAGGACTTTTGAGACCTGCTCCACAGAATCATGTCTAGACCTGCTCCACAGAAACATGTCTTGACCTCCAGAAATTACATTAATCATGGAGATGAAGCCTCCAGGCAGCAAACCACTGCCATACATGATAGGTAGATTAGATATAGATAGCCAGATTGATTGATTGATTGATTGATAGATAGATAGATAGAGAAATGGATGGATGGATGTTAGATACATAGATATAGATAGTGAGATAGACAAATAGATGATAGCTAGCTAGATAAATAAATAGAGTAGAGAGATGGATAGGCAGATGACATGGGTAGATGGATGAATGGATGGATAGATACATAGA